TAAAGAAGTTTTGCATTTTTTTTTTTTTGTCGCTCGGCTCGTCACGAGCTGAAAATGACCCGTGACACGGGCCGGACCCATGTGGCTAGTCGAGTCGGGCCGGCTCAGGCTTTTTCCGAGCCAAGCCACGATCTTCGGGGGGATAATTTGGTCAATTGATCAAGGATAGTTTTGTACTTTCAGCAAATGTATAAAACTAAAACATGACAAAAATAGATATCTCCGTCCATCTCTCTTCTTTAATCTTATCAGTTCAACATTTTAAAAAAAAGTCATATATGTTCTCCCACGGGCTTGAGAGAAGGAAAAAATAGCACTGAAAACAGGATTTGCAGCCTATTCTGTTTGTATCCCAGCCATGTGTTGGCAAGCAATATAAGAAAAGCAGCAACCACCTTTCNTATCCAATATCTTCTCTTGTGTCATATGACCATTTATCGCCATCCTCTTGTTCGTTTATTGCATCTCTTGATTCTATAACTATTCCTAAGACTGTTCATGATGCCCTTTCTCATCCTGGATGGCGTAATGCTATGATTGAGGAGATGAATGCTTTAGATGACAATTCTCCAAAACAGTCGACTTCATGGTATCAGAGCCATTGGCTCATGCAAATATCGACAATCTTGGCCTCATTCTCACCGGTCGTCATCGCTAGGGTTCCGAGCAGCAGTCGCCGCCTCCGCTATCACATCCGGCCGCCGGTCAGCTAGGGTTTTGAGAGCTGCAATCGCGCCGTCGTCCCCTTTTTCCGCCGCGAGCTGCAGTCGCGCCGTCGTCCCATTCCCGCTTCCGGCGCCTCCTTTTTCGCGAGCTACAGCCTCCACCTCTGTAGCTATGTTTTCTGGATTTATCACACTCTGCTTGCTATCGACATTTTTTTGAAAAGCATTCCCAGCCAGTATCCAGTTCAAGGTTTCTGGGTGTTGACAATCGTTGTGTTACTGTACATTGTTGGGGCAGCTCTGACTTGTTTGTTTGCCAAGCTCTGATACCATGAAGTCGACTGTTTTGGAGAAAAATATTATTCTTTTTCTATCTTACTCTCTTAGGTTTTACATGTATATATATACAAGCCACTTATATTATTTATAGGACAAGTCCCTATAAATAAGATTCTATCAATTAGGGTTAAGTAATTTACTTCCTATTCTAAATAGTATGTAACAATAAGAAAAGCAGCAACCACCTTTCGCATTTTAGAGAATGACTACTTTTTCCAAACATGTTCCTAGCCTAAAGGTCTTATTACCTGGTAAACTTTTGATCCTTCTATATTGTACAGCTCAGGCAGCAAAATTTTTGGTAGATATTGAGATATTTTAAAAGATAAATTGGACGTGATAACAAACTAATTCCGTCATATACCTCGTCTTTAATCATATTCAGTCTAGCATATCAAACATGTTCATCCACACCCTTGAGAGAAGGAAAGAGTAACCTAGAAAACAAGAATTTGA